GCACTCATAATGGTGCAGTCCGTTCGCGCGAAAACTGCATATGGGCGTGATGTCCGGGACAAGAACCCGCCTCCTCCATACTTTACCACACTGTTACCTTTAGATTGGATTACTTTAGACACTGTGTGGGTGTCTGCCATTGTAGGCTATTATAGACACAACTGTTTCTCTATTATTAACAGTTTAAACAGACTTTAAAGATGTACAATTTTGGTACTTGTACAGAATACATTACACACACATAACTTCAGACTACACCAAATAAGCAGTAAAAGCAACAGTAAAATTAACCAAATCACACTCATGTAGACTATTCTATGTTGTTTCGATATGATAATTAATCTAAAAACGCCAATTTATTTAGTTGAGCTATTCTTCAATGGGCTCCACATTAGACTGCACAATATGGTAAAAACATCATATTGCGATTATTTTTGACAGATATTGCGATTCACGATTATGTGGGAATAGTTTAATTTTCACAACAAAAAAAAACTATTGAAATAAGATGATATCAAATGTTTAGGGGTCTGTGACCAGGGCACCTCTGCAGCTCTACAGTGCTTCATTATAATGCTGTTCTGACACACATTTGACCTTTATCAGAACATTACAGCTCTTGTGATTTGCATATTGCGGTGACATTTTACAATTTTGATGATATTTTGATTAATTGTGCAGCCCTAGTCCACATCAGCACAGTTTTCTAGAGCACTCTGCTAGATTGACAATGACACAACACCTGCACACCAAGCCTGTCTGTTCTGTTTATCTCATTTCCCTCATTTCCACTTCATCCTCCACTGTTGTTTAGTTGTCAGAAGCCTGCTGGGTTAAAGACTTGTCAGGATGACTGCAAAATGATAGGGGTTCACAGCATCAGGAAGCCATAGTGCTGCACCCTGGGTCTAAACCACCACTGACTTTATCTTAACACACACACACACACACACACACACACACAGCACATGGCAGGGAACACTTACTGCTTCTCAGCTGGAATAAGCCGGGATGAGACAGAGGCAGCTGTTCACACATTGCAAAATTGTTCTGTATCCTCCCCTGCTACCACAAACTCTCCACAATTAGTCTTTGAAATTGAAATGGTGTACTTTCCTTCTGTCATTCCCTCTCAGTGCTCCCCTCTTTTCTGACCCTCTGTCACAATAACATTTCCTATACATCCAAAGGTCTTATAACTGAGGCTGATTCTCTTGTTTTGGGTCATATCAGGGATACATTATTTAAATGTTGTAATACTGTTGTGTCAGGGTGTGATCAATGTGCATCAGTCAACATCACTGAAGGATTATGTGCATTTTGCAAATGAAACAAAACTTGAAAGGTGTAAATAAGTTTTTAGCACTTTTTACTTGTAAGTCAAACATTTGAGAATGTATTCAACGTGTGTTTACTTTTTTAATTATTTGTAAAAAATATTCCCTCTCGCAACAAAAAGAACATGTTCAACATACACGTCTGTGTACTGTGAAAGTTACATTATAGAGTTGTTAATAATTAATGATCATTTTAACCTGTTGGTAACTTTGAACTTAGAGATATTTTAAAGCATTTACTCTTGTTTCAAAAAGAGACTGGAAGTCTTTATGCTGCTCTAACTCACAGCAGAATGAGCTTATTCTGGATTTTTATCAAACCAAGTGCTGATATTTGGTAGATTATGAGAAATTTAACACACACACACACACACACACTGGATCACTGACACAGCTAGTGCAGAAATGCAAAAACCTAAAAAAAAATGTAAAGAACCTGCAGGGCATGGGAATCTGTGGATTTAAATGTCATCATGTTTATTGGCTTTAATTCTAATAGTTGATGTATATTTTGCACAATGAAGATTTTAATGATTATTACATATATTATTAATATTACTTTTGAGATCATTAAATAGGTGTGGGAATATTCCCTTTGGTCAACTGCTGGTTACCTGCCCTACAAAAACAGCCCATATTCTTAAATAAAATCAAAATTACTATTTTCTAAAATTCTTAAAGCTATCATAATAATCTAGCAACTGAAAGACTGTAATAGGCCATAAAACAGAAGTAAAGACAGAACAAAATCAACAAATTAAGCACACTTTGCTTATTACAAGCAATGCGAACAAGAAATTAGTGTTGTGTACATTCATGAAAATGAAGGTTAGTGAAATTACTTTTTTACTCATAAAAGGGATTTGTATCTTTATCGTGGAGGTCGAATGCATGTCAACAGTCACCAGGTTGAATCAGACATATATCTCAGTTGTTATGGACAGGTTATGCGAGATGCACAAACAGAAGAATACATATCAGAACACTGGCCATCATTCCATTTCATTTCATTTTCATAGTTGGTTAAAACACAGTCTTCATTGCCTCCATTGTTGTTTGGCTCTCGAGTACCCCAAAAGAAAAATTTCACTGCACCACCATCAGACCACATCCATCTGCCTTCTTTATGAATGTCACTGAGTCCGATCCACGTTCGTCCCTCAGCGTGGTCAAAGTTCTTTATCAGGGATTTGACAAAATTCTCTTCCTCCAGACTGTGAATAGACACCAGGTTGGCTCTCTGTGACCTACAGTGGAGTTCTGCATCAGCCCA